GGGATTGAGGTAGTTTATAGATGGGTTGAGATAATTTATTGACAGATTGAGATAGCTCATAGACGGGTTGAAATAACTTCTAGATGGGTTGAGATAGTTTATAGATGGGTTGAGTAGTAGAAAGAAAAGAACAGCGAGAGCAGGTGAGCTCCAGCCTCTAAAAACTCAACAAGCGGCGAGAGTGTTAGGCTTTGTGTGGCAGACACGGTGCAGGAGTCTTTCTCTTACCAACTTCAGCACACACAGGAGGCCTGACAGCATGAGGCCATCATCCCATTTCATGGCTGGAGAAACCGAGGCTCAGAACCATAAAAACCTGGTTCAGGTCCCATTGCTTGTAAGCAACAGATCTGTACCCAGCAAGGGTTCCTCACCAGGAGGGTGAGAAGGCAGGAGGGGACAGAGCCAGGGCCGTGTCAGCCAAGTCAGCTTGAGGATGACGAGGGGGTCATGTGGATAGTGTGGGGCACGGTGACAATCCATTCTCGCTGCCATCTGCCTGCGTGGCTTCAGGTGGATCTCATGTTGTGGTTTTTCAGGAAACTGGACGGGATCGTACATTTGACCTTTCGGTTAGCCACCTAATGCTTATATCCCTTGTGCAACCAGGGCTGCTTGGATGTGATAGATACTCCCCCAAACCCACTGTCATCCAGTTGATTGTGACTTACGGTAACTCTCCATTGGGTTTCTGAGGCTGTGCACACCTTCGTGAAAGCAGGGGCCGGTGTGTTTGAACTGCCAGAGTTGTGGTTAGCAGGCCAGCACTCATCCTACTCCACCACCTTTACACCTGGTATCTGTCACTCATTCCCTTTGAGTCGGAACCGACCAATAGCAGACCCTCCAGCGGGTTTTTAGATTGTAAGTTGCATGGGAGGAGACTGTCCAGCCTTCCTCTGTGGAGTAGCTGCATGGATTCGAACTGCATGCCTTTCTGTTGGCAGCGCAGTTCTTTACCACTAAGCCACCGCAGCTCCCTGCATGCGGTATAACAAATGTTAAGCTTGTTTAGCTGTCCTGTGTTGACAAGTAGACCTTCACCATGACCCAGAAAGGCAGATCTGGCTTTGTAGTGTCTGCCATGGAATCGTCGAGTGACCTGGGAGGTGGCCCTCTGGCCTCTGGTGTCCTCCGCTTCTCATCCTACCCCTGACCCTTGTTGTCAAGAGTCCTGTGTGGACATGCGTGGACAATACAGCCTGCATGTCTGAGCTCCCCCTGATCCCTGCCAGCCACCTGCCTTGCCACTCTTCAGGGCGAAGATTGCTTCTCCTGGCAGCAAGAGGAGAGACCCAGGAAAGAGGGCTGGGGGCCTGGGACGGAGGTGCCCTACCCAGTAGGGGGACTGTCCCCTGGGCCCTGCAGACTCCAGCCCTGGAGTGGGGGGAATAGGGCACAGGACAGGGATCGAGGCCACTTGTCAAGACTAATTACCAAGAGCTGGTGCTTTTGGGGCCGGTTTGTGAGTGGGAACGAGACTTGCACCGTGACCTAAACAGGTGCCCACCTTGCTCTTTGCACTGGGAATCCTTCCCCTTTTCTGCGGGCTCCTCACATGTACGACCGTCAACTACTTTTACATCTTCCATAACACACAGGGCTTCTCCTGTGGGGTCACATCAGAGTCCCGGAAGGTTCTGAAAAGCTGTCCCGTCCCAGGGGCTGAGGTACCACCCGTCCCACGGAGACCCGCTCGGGTACCTCCACTGCCCAAGGGAGACGCCGGCCGAGTCGTCCCCGTCACAGTGCGTCACCAAGTTCAGAATCCAGGAACAAGGCGCTGAGGGCCTCTTCAAAGGAAATTGCTTCCCGAATCTCATGTTGTTCCTTGTTTTGTTACAGTGGTGCCCGGCAGCTCCAAGGGGCAGCAACCGTGGAGGTGCCAGTCAGCGGCAGCAGCGGCGGCCACAGCAGCAGCCCCGCAGGTCAAGAGCACGAAACCCCAGGCCCAACCAGAAAAGAGGTACGAGTCCAATTTTAGGTGCAAAGAACGATGTCCTTGTGTTTATGCCAACAGTGGTGGGTACAAGCTGCCTAAGAAGGAAGGGACTCAGAAGACTCGCTGTGTACAAATGCTTGCTTCTTTGCTTTGGGCTTCCCTTCAACAGCTGTGAGCTTCAGATTTTATCCCCCACACTCCCACTTGGCTTTTGTTAAAGGACATTTGTAGCTGAGTGTGGCTTAGAAGTCATGCAGCAATTTAATTCATGAATATTACACATTTATATGTATCTGTGAGTCTAACATAACATTACCTCCCAATTGCATGTTCTGTACCGGGAAAAGAACAGATCCACAGAAGATTTCTGTATCAGACTCTACTACTGGCTTTTACCTTTTAACTCGCTAATCCAAGAAACCAGATAGAGTTTCTTTGACTTCTCAACAGTCGGCTTTGAGGCCCCGTGGAGTTACACTCTCCTCTGACACATGCAGGGTCACCACCGTGAGTTGGAATGGACTTGACAACAGAAAGAAAAGCATTAGAAATGACACAAGAAGCCAGAACCCAGGCCCATCGCTGATGAGGTGATTCTGACTCATAGCTATATGTTGTAACTGTTGTTTGGTGCCTTCAAGTCAACCCCGGCCCGTATTTACCCTGCGAACAGCACATCTGTGCCCTGCCCTGCCCTGTCCTGTGCCATCCCAACTCATCACTGGACGATCCCACTGCCCTACAGGGGCCCCGAGGCTGCAGTTTTTACTGGAGCAGACGGCAGCTTCTTTTGTCCGAGGAGTGGCTGGTGGGGTCACATCACCGGCCTTTTTTGGTTGGCAGCTGAGTGTTTAAGCACTGTGCTACCAGAGCCTGTCAAAAGGCCTGGCAGGATTTATCCCAGTGAAGCCCAGACGTGTGCCTGCCTCATCCTTACGTTTGTTGACGTGATTTAGCAGGGAGAGTCCTTTTCAGTAACCGAAGCCACCACGTTTGCAGGTCTTCCTCGGGTCCTGACGGGAATTCCTCAGATCGATGTGTCCTTAGGGAATGGAAGACGCACCCAGGAGCCACTGAGCTCCACCACCATTCCACCAGAGCAGACGTTATGTAGAAAATATGAAAGGAAAATATTTTGTATTTGCTGTGTATATTTGGAGTCTCTGGGTGATGCATGGCCTGCTGACCAAAAGGTGGATGGTCCAGGTCTTCTCAGAGGCACCTCGTCATCTACTTCTGAACGGTCAGCCCTGAAGGCCCACGGAGCACAGGGCCCCTGTGACACGCGCCCTTTCGTCACCACGGGTTGGACTGAACGGGTCAGCAGCTGCGTCTTCCCGGGGGCACTGCTCGAAGTGCTGAGTAGGTTGAGCTTTGGTGGGACATGGACTAGACCCGGCCGTCCAGTGGGTTCCTACTCACGGTGACCCTCCTTCAGGCTTCCGAAGGCTGTAACCTAACGGGAGGAGGCCACGCCATCTTCCTCCCCAGAGCAGCGGAGGGATTTGAACCCGAGGAGATGCTTCCTCGTGGGTTGGCAGTGCAGCTCACTGTAGACCATGCCACCAGAGCTTCCTCAGGCACTAGGGGTGGGCCCCAGATGACCTCAAAGGGCCGGAAGTGGTGAGGAAGCAGCAGGGGTCACCCCTCTTTGTCCACTCATCCATGCCACAGAATACCCGTAATACTTAGTATTTGTGGTAAAGTGAAAAACTGATTTTCTGTGAACTGTGGAAGAAAAGTTACTTCATTACTGTGTTTTCCTAGTGGTAAAAAAATAACATACATAGTGTTAACATTAAATCCTAATATCCTCATGAAAGATGTGATATTAAACTATTAATATCACCTTATTATAGGGG